TCTTCTATTTCCATCATGTATTCTATAATACATAGTGTAAAAGGCTTTTGGTACCATTGCAAGACACCACAAATCACTTCTTATTTTATATCTTGCTTATAAACATTGGTTTCTATATGGCTGGATTCAAGAAAATCTTGTTTCTCTAAAACTGTATTAATTTTTATCCTTTTATAGTGTACAAATGTCAACTTTTATAAGATCTCTTCTAAGACTTCCAAAAACTTTGAATGTTATAAAAATAAATAAAATGAAAATTGTTGCATGAAAAAATTTCATTTTCAAGCTTAATTTTGATGCATTTCAAATTAAATATTACATTTTGGAGTTATCCTTCCTGTCTGAGGATCGGATATCCTTAATAAATACAACTAACATGAAAGACTTAATTCTCTCTGGGACGACATATTACATGTAAAGCTTTGGAAAAAATCTATTTGAAGTAGTAAACAGTTTACTACCATCTCAAAGCCTCAAAGAAATTGGAATAAGAAAAGTTTTTAGATCAAGAGGCGCAGTTTTGTGATGCATTGAGTTACTCCTTATGTCGCATTTTCGAATCCCACAGCAAGACGTGTAGACAGATCCTTCGGTTGAGACCTAATCAAACGAGGTATCTTTTTCGCAGTAAGTGCTGGCACGAAAAAGATTGATTACTGCTCATTGGCCATGAGTGCCCAGATTAAGTCTAAATTTTGTAGCCCTCCATTGTCCATTAAGGGTTGCATCTTAATGAAACTTGAAAGGGACGTCAAACAGACAAATAAAAACGTTGGATTTTTAAAACAACAAAGATAGGCTTTGTAGATGTTTTCAAAGAATATTATTTTCACGGCATATTATCGTTTGCAAAGATATTCAATTTCATTTTAATGTGATATTGATTTTGTACACGCTTAAATACCATGACATGTGAGACAGTACTATTTACTGAGTACATGTACTACAGAAACAATGACTACGTTATTTCTCTTGATATGCTTGGTTTTCTTGTCCTTGTCCGGTGCCAATGTTCCCAAAACTCATATGTTTATAAAAGGTAAGTCAGATTAGACTTTTAGAATTATTGTGCAATCGTAAATTATCAAAATAATTAAATATGCATGAAATTAAATTACATAAATATTTCCTTGATCTTTAAAATTTTTGGTATCAAATGAAAATTATGGCGATATTTTCGTCCCTTTAGAATCGAGTACAATATAATGTGTCTGCAATATTTTCATTTACACCTTACTTGAAAAACCATTCAATTAAATATGGAATTTGGGCTGTAAAACAGCGAAAACAATTAGAAAAGTAGCTATTTCGGATTGTCACCTGAAGAAGGCACTGTGCACAAATACACAAATGGAACGAACATTGTGTATATGTCTCGTCAAATGCAAAATATAACATGAATTTTCTTTCCACTTAGCTACTTTTCCACTTTCCACTTCTTCAAACTATAATGAAGAAAGATTGCTTCTAAAAAGTCTTAGATATTCATTGAATTGGGCCAAACTCGAGATGACCTATGACAAGAATGAAAAAAATTAATTTGTTCTCAATCTAGGGCATATGAAAGAATCTTTGAAAAAACTACCTTGGAAGTGGACCCATAAGAAAACGTCGTATAAAGTGAAAACCCCTCTTACTATTGGGTAGATGTTGTGTCGAGTTACAAAGTCAGCGCAGATGCAGTTGGTGTTGAAGGAATCTTTAACACAAGTGAGTATTTTATCAAATTCTCGAATCTTCCCTCGTTTTTTCGAAAAATTATTTGGACAGACTGTAATAGAAAGAATCTTCAAAAAATCATTTTTAAAAAGAAAATAAAATGGTTTTTATATATAAGAAATTCTTTGCTGATATTAAGTATCATATATATAAGTTAAGATACAAAAGAAAGAATAAAAAGTAAATAAATAGATATGGAGAGAAAATGATCAATTAAGAGAGTTTAAGTATTTTAAAATTCTTTCTAATGGTTTCTTCCAGTACTAGACGTTACATGTAATATTTGGAAATTAAACGAAACTTACCTGGAAGTTGAAGTTTGATTGTAATTCTACGAAATCACTGGAAAGGAATGGAGGAATCACATGAGATAGCGCTAGCCTATCTGGCCTCAGTATTTAAATCCAATTAATAGCCGAAGATGTAAATACACAAAGGGTAGGGAAAAATAACAACTTTTACAGGGTCGGGCATGTGATTCCTCCATTCCTTTCCAGTGATTTCGTAGAATTACAATCAAACTTCAACTTCCAGGTAAGTTTCGTTTAATTTCCAATTCTACTTCATCACTGTCCAGTTCATTACAGAACCACATGAGATTTTAAAGCTCTGAGGCTATTAATGTAATAAAAACATTGAATGCAATTCAATTTATTGCTACAATGTAATCTACTTATATAAGTATATATACATAACTGTATTTCAAAACAAGACATTTATTTATCAATGCACTTATATATTGTTTGTCCTAAAGACATGTTGTCCGCATTAAAGTTTTTATTGTAAAATTTGGCGAAAGTTTTTTCCTTAGCCCAGCCCACTTGTGCCAGTATGGTGTCTATTGGACATCCCATTGAAGCTGCGCAAGATGTCGACGCAGCACGTGTACTATGCGCAGTGTAAACATTAACATCCACACCACTTTTGCTAAGCACCGATTTTATCCAGCGAGCAATAGTGTCACATGATACTGACGCATGTGGCTTTTGATAGCTAATTAATAATGAATCAGTGTTCCTTATTTCTTTTGTCATGTCAATGTATTTTCTCAAATGTTGGACTATACACAAATTTCTGTCCTCATAAGCCGGTAATACGAGTTTATTCAAATGAAACCCAGGCCTGCTTTGTTTAAGTAAAGAATCAACTCTAAATTCTACATAAGAATCCGTAATTTTTAAATTTTCCATTGATAACGCTTTAAGGGTTTGTACCCTTTGTCCAGATAATAAAGCTAATAGCATTACTGTCTTCAGCGTTAACAACTTCAAACACATATCATCAAAATTAATTGTTTTCATCCAGTTGAACACTACTGAAACATCCCAGATTTCTGAATATCTTGGAAAAGTAGGTCTCTTATTAAAAACACCCTTGAGAAATCTTTTAATTAAGGGATGCTGTCCCACTGGATAATGCACGGCATCAACAAGAGTAACTACTGACGATAAAGCACTTCTTGCTGTGTTTATCCCAGAATAGCCAATGCCACTCTCGTATAAAAAAGTTAAGAATTCTAAAACTTCCTTCACAGGCGTTGAAAAGGGATTAACTTCCCGTCCACTACAGAATGTCTCCCACTTACGGAGGTAACACTCGTATTGTTTAGTTGTTTTTTCTCTCCATGAAGACAACAAAATGTCTTTAGTTTGCTCCGATAAGTCTTTACTCTGGATTGATCTCCTGATAACAGACATATTAGTAAGTTCAACTTTTCCCATATTTTGTGTATCTGCGTTGTCCCCGGTATGCCCAACAGAGTTTTCCTCCTGTGAACAAAGATTGGATTTTCTATGAGCATTTTCATTGCAGTTGCATAATATGGTTGTGTTGGCCAATCTGGCATTATTAAAATACCTGTGGCTTCATCTAACACTATTTTCTGTAAAACCGAAGGTATCAAACTAAAAGGTGGAAAACAGTATAATTTCATGTCACCCCAAGAAATAGAAAAAGCATCAATTGCAAAAGATTCAGGCTCTGGTTTCCACGACACAAATTTTTCTAATTGACAGTTATTGCGTGTAGCAAACAAATCAATATCTGGATTAAAATTCAATTTATCACAAGCTGATTGATAAACTTGTTTATTAAGCATCCATTCATATTCCTGTTTAAAATGTCTACTCTCAAAATCTGCCTTGCAGTTTATTTTCCCCGGAATATGAGCAGCCGTAAGCCAAATATTTTTCTCATATGCCCAAGTCCAAATTTTTCGGACCATTTTATTGCACTCTAAAGAACGACTACCTCCTTGTTCTCTAATGTATGCTACAGCAGTTGTATTGTCAATTAAAAGCTTTATGTGCATATCTTTCTTATCATTACATATTGATTGCAATGCAAAATAAACAGCTTGAAGTTCTAAAACATTTATATGATAATTCTTTTCGGATTCTTTCCATGGGCCACCTGTTGATATGCTCAGTGATTGACAATTGCAACCCCAGCCTTGCAAACTTGCATCAGTTTCAATTATCAAATCCGATTGACCTCGGGTAATTGGGGCCTTAGAACCCACAATGTTTAGTTTCCACCACTCTAAGTCATTAATTGCTAGATTTGATAAATGAACTTCGGCATCAAATTGACCCCTTGACATCTTTAAAGCCAAAATTTTCTCATTCTCTAATTGACGATAAAACAACTGTCCATGTGGTACAGCTGGAAAACTTGCCACCAAGTTTCCAATAACAGTGCTAAGATCTCTAATTGAATTTCTTTTTGATTTAAGATATTCATCACAAATTGTAACCACTTTCAATGCCTTTCTTTCTGTAATTGCAATTGTCATTTCTACTGAGTTTAGTAGAAAACCTCTATATTCTATTTCTTGGCTTGGCTGAAAAACAGATTTTTCAGGGTTAATGACAAATCCACAATTAACCAGCATATTTGCTGTAGCAATTGCATTTTCCTGACATGCTTGAGCATTGTCACCTTGCAAATAAATGTCATCAATGTAAATTACAGATTGATGGCCATTTTGTCTAAGCCTTGAAAAAACTGGTTTCAGTACCTTTGTAAATAACCGAGGGCTCATGCATAAGCCCATAGGACATGCTCTATACATGTAAAGCTTTGAATTCCAATAGAATTTAAGATATTTCTGATAAACATTTGCAACCGGTATGCAGTAATATGCATCTTTTAGGTCAATGGAAGCCATATAACAATTTGGTGTTATCATTCTTAAAACTGACACCAGTGAATCCATTTTAAAATGACGATACTGAATAAATTTATTCAAATGTTTCAAGTTGCATATCAACCTGTATTTACCATCTTTTTTAGGTCTTAAAAATATAGGAGACACAAACTGGTCTTTTTCCTCTTCACTTTCCACAATTACTTTTTTATCAAGTAATTTTTGTATTTCGTCATCAATTGCTTTTTTCTCTGTCATATTAAATTTGCATTGATGCATTGCATTAATGTTTTGAACTGGTTTACTAATAAATTCAAGTTCAATACCCTTCACAATGCTGAAATATTTCTGGATCTGAAGTGAACTCAGTCCATTGATCTATAAAATGCATGATTCTGCCACCTTCAAATTGTAATATGTCTCTTTTAGCATTCAAAATAGTTTTTTCTATAAAACTAGCATATTCTTCAGATGTAGTAGATTGAAGTTTTACCTCAGTCAGGGTTTCTGTTACTGATCTTTCTTGAATCTCTTCTGCTGACTTTGATTCTTCTTTTTCCAAGAAAAATCGCTCTTGTTCCTCTGACTGAACCCAAATCTTTTCCCGTTTTTTGAAAAATCCCTTCCAACATTGCCTACTTGGCGAGCCTCCTTCAGAGACTTAGGAAGGTCATCTCCGAAAAGCAAAGACGTAACCGGGATATTGCTGTCACATAACGCAGCATAATCACTTTTAAGTACTGGTCTTAATAAATCTCTCCGCTGCATAGACATAGTGGTATTCGCATGGCCTAATAAATAAATTGCATCAAGACAATTTCTTATTTCTGCATCATGCTTCTGGCCATCCAAATTTAACAACTTGTTTGCTACACTAACTATTGCACAAGTTGACTTAGTGATCAAACTCTGAACATTCATCAATCTTAAGTCACGCTTTTTTGTAAAAGCTTGTTTGTGCATTTGGCGCCAAATTTCTTTGTTGACTTTAGGCACAATGACTTTTTCACAATTCTTTGGCCTCTTGTGTGACTCTTTCTTTTTCTTTACAGCATCAATAGAATGCTGTTTAGAAAATGCTTTGTTAGTTATGTTGGCCAATTTTTCAGAAATTGCTGAACCAACATCATCATCATCATCTAAAAGAGCGTCCATTTCTTTTAACACTGAACCACTCTGCTGATCATCCAATAGATCAGGTTTGGCTCCGGAATTTCCGGATTCCAAAAGACTCTTAATATCATCAGTATCATCATACTCAGAGTCATCTGCCTCCCCCTCCTCCATTAAATCAGCAGAACGCTTGTTGGAAGTGGAAGGCTGGTCAGTAACCATAGGTTTGGGGCCTGCTGCCGCTAATGCGGAAAAAGCATCCCCCATTTTATTAATGCCCGTGGCAACTGTGTCCATAGTACTTTGAATTTTAGTCAAAGCATTAAAAATTTGCTTTGAATCTGATGTTAAATCATCATCAAATGACCCCAGTAGGGCATCCTCTTCACGGCCAGTAGCCATGATGAGTAATAAAACAATTAAATAAAAAATAACAATATCCTTTGTTCACTAATAAACCGCGGGAAAATCACTGCTGCTTAAAATAAACACGTCTGCACTGAAGCCCAGATAAAAGCGCACTGAGGCCAGATAGGCTAGCGCTATCTCATGTGGTTCTGTAATGAACTGGACAGTGATGAAGTAGAATTATGTGTAACTGTTAGTTTTCGATGAAAAAGACTGACACACGTGTACTTTGGAGCACATGGAATTTCATATGAAAATTCACATGAATAGCGAAGCCGTTCAAACATAAATTACTATATATATACACAACACCATGGAATCCTAAATCCCAGAAACCGCGAGTTAATTTCTTACATTTTGCAAACATATGTATGTCTCTTTTGCCAACTTCAACTAAAGTGGGTTACGTTAGGCCCTATGAGTAAACATAATAACATGAAATAGCAGCGTCTTTAAGCTTACATTATTTCTAATCAAACAAGTAAATATATTTTTGAAAATTAGTAGATGTATTTCTTTTTTTTTTTAATTAATTTTACATTCATTGGTTCAAATTAATTTTAAATTCCTGTTTTCAAATTAAAAAAAAATAGATTAGCAGTGAATACAAGCCGAACTTAACATGAATATGTAGAAAAAAAAATCTTTTTTAAAGGCGCTTGTTTTAAACTTTGTAGATTCACTTTATCTTTTTTTCTAATTTATAATAAATTATTATTTTATATAGGTCACTTCAAACGCCAGCACCGTGACTGTGCTAGCATTCTTAAGATTGACCCTGAGGTAAATGGACGTGACGGAGTGTTTACTATTTATCCTGATGGTAACACAGAGAAGATAGTTTTCTGTGACATGACTACAGAAGGGGGTGGATGGACGGTATTAAGATAAATTTAATTAATTAATAAAATTATATAAGCTAAATTAAACTGTTTCTTACTTTTAATATGTAACATCAAACATATCAAACATTCTGTACTCCTGTCTTGTGTTAAAACAATTTTAAAAATGCATTTAAAATACTGGCAAAGCCATAACGATGCTTTATATTATTTATGGGGTCAACAGTTTAATATCAAATCTGATATTTTCAGTTCTTCTACCATAGACATCGGCTATGCTAAAAAATAGGACAAAAGCAAGAATTCTATCTCATACTGAAATTCTATTATAGATATTCAATCATTATGTCTAGTGCCATAATCATGTATTTAAAAATACAATGTTTGTAATCAAAAGGTTATTCAGCGAAGAATACATACGGGAACTACAATTTTTTACCGAACATGGAAAGACTATAAGACAGGCTTTGGGCACGCAGGATCGGATTATTGGTTAGGTAAGATAATAAGAGACCCATGGGATCGCTCACCTGAGTACTGCAGCTAAGAAAGAAAACAGAAATCAGTTTATTATTAAAAAATTTATAATCCGAAAAAGGTCCCACCCAATCCTTAAAGGGGAGAGGGTATGGTTTGAACAAACTTGAACAAACTTGAATCTACACAAACTAAGGATGCTTGCATATTTCTTTGACTACCTGTGGCTTTATTGCTCTTTACATATGAACTTATATTTTGGCTCCCCCTTCCTCCCCCTCCACCCTGCCCAATTAAAAAATGATCAATCATGCTTTGCTGTCCTTGAAATATTTTCCTTATGTATTCCTTAGTAAAACTTTGATGTGCCATATTGTGGCTTTCCTACCCTCAGGGGTCATGATTAGATGAACAGATTAGAATCTACACTACCTGAGGATGCTTCCATGTAAATATGACTAATCATGGCTTTGCTATTCTTGAGAAAAAGATTTGAAAAGAAATTTTCTATATATTTCTATGTAAAACTTTGATAAGTCATTGTGGCCCCGCCCTATTCCCGGGGGTCATGATTTGAAAACAAACTTGAATCTACAATACCTGGTGATGCTTCCACATTAATATGACCAATCATGACTTTGTTGTTCTCAAGAAGAAGATTTTTAAAGATTTTTCCTATATGTTTCTATGTAAAACTTTGATCGTCCACTGTGGCCCCGTCCTACCTCCAGGGATCATGATTTGTATAAATCTGAATCTACACTACCCGAGAATGTTTACATATAAGTTTCATCTTTCCAGGCCTTGTGGTTCTTGAGAAGAAGATTTTTAAATGTTGCCATCAATTTTTCGCTAATTTTTCATTATCTCCTCTTGAAAAGGGGCATAGTCCATCAATTAAACAAACTTGAATCCCCTTCACCCAAGGATACTTTGTGGCAAGTTTGGTTTCAGACAGACGGACGCCGGACAAAATGTGATCAGAAAATCTCACTTGAGTCTTCGGCTCAGGTGAGCTTAAACCTTACCTAATGCAGGCTATAGATACCTTAATTCATATCTGTTCATCAGAAAGAATATAAATTGAAGGTATAAAAGGTATGATTCATGTCATGGAAGGTCACTTACTTTGGTATAAAATACAAAGAATTGTTTAAAATTTGCATAATGAAACATGTACAAATTGATACATTTTATCATACATGTACATTTTTTAATATACATAAATATATTTGCATCCTAAAGGCAACGATGCAATTCACACTCTGTCCTCCCGTTCAGCACAAGAACTGTTGGTAGAGCTAGAACAGTTTACCGGAGCTAAAGCATATGCCAGATACTCCAAGTTTGCCATTGATGATGAGAAAAACAAGTACAAATTGTCAATCAGCGGATATAGTGGAAATGCAGGTTTAAAAATTAATGTATTAAAACTAACAGAGTGACTTTCTCATTTAAATTTTATCTTGTTTTATTTTTTTTAATTATTTTTTTGCCCACACTTGAAACAAAAACAAAAAACAAAAAGTCAAATAAACAATTGGACATTCGTGTTGTTTGAAAACACTGAAGAAAATTAGATCTGAAGTTTATGCAGACAGAGAGTCTTATTTCTTGTTAATCTGTAGACCTATGCTCTAATGATATTTTACAAATCTTTTTAATTGAAAACAAGTCTTTTTTTCTTATTTTAATCTTAACTTTCAAAATTTGATCTTTTAAATATTACTTACATAGGTGATGGATTAAAATATCATAACGGACAGTTCTTTGCTACAAAGGACAGACCTGGCTCTACAAACTGTCCTATCACTTACCAAGGTGCCTGGTGGAATTATAGTAATTGCTATAAGTCAAATCTCAACGGTCCTTACCACAAGGCAGCCTCCAACACATACAAAGCAATTGTGTGGATTCCGTGGAAAGATAAAACAGCCTTGAAATCAACACGGATGATGATTCGTCCAAAGAAATAACCACATATGCTACCTTTCGAGAAAATGTCTATGCACATCCTAAATTCATTTTCCTGTAGAGGTGTTACACCGAAACTTTCTGTTTTTAAATAAAAACGCCCAAAGTTTCCAACAAAGTTTATTTTGTATTCCCGTGTAACACTTTACACACAGGACCCGACTGAGTAACTAATTGAACACACAAATTCTACGCTAAATATTAAGAACTGCCCAACCTACAAACTGCCAATCACTGCTAAATTAACCCGTTAATTGTGAACACTATGAATTCTGCATTTTCTCATGGCCAGCACTTCGGACATTCAATCCCCCTGATACTCGGGTGATAAAAGTCAGCAATGCTGATACAAGAGCTAAATTTCCCAGCCAAATCTTAATGAGCGGTCATGACCTTATCACATAAACAGATCACTGCAGTCTGTAGCTTAGAGCAATTACTACAAATCAACAAGATTAAGATAATATAAATCAAGCATTAATTATACAAACAATTTCACACAAAATTTCACTTTAACACCTCCCTTTCAAAGATAAAAATTTAACTGTCAATAGTTGAATTTTTTCCAAGTTCATAATTCTGTATATAGCAACATTAAATTTAACCAGTCACTAAATTCATTTTAGCCAGTCCAAATAAGTATTAAACAGTTAATAGCAATTAATCATCAATGGAATAATATAAATCCAGAAGGAATTTCACTGTAAATCCTAACTGAATGCACTTTGAATTTTATGAATATAAAATTTTCACAAAAATTGCCCATAATTCACAAACACATTTCACTCTTCAGATTCTTGATAATCCGTCTGCATTTGTATTTTTGCTTCCTGTCTTATATTTAACTTCAAAGGTGTACGATTGTAGTGCGAGGGCCCAATGTAAAAGTCTCTGATTTTTATCCTTCAAGCGATGCAACCATGTTAGTGGATTGTGATCTGTTTCTACGTAAAACTTCCTCCCCTCTAGGTAATACGAAAACGATCCAATGGCCCAAACGATAGCTAATAATTCCTTCTCTATCGTTAAATAGTTCTTTTCCCTTGGAAGTAACTTCTTACCAAGGTAAGCAACTGGGTGATCACCATCTGGCAACTGTTGGCTCAGGACAGCCCCAATTGCGTTATTACTCGCATCTGTTTGTAGTACAAACGGTAAATTGAAGTTCGGATTGACCAAAACAGGAGCTGTCATCAGGGCCTCCTTCAGTTTCTTGAATGACTGCACTTCCCTCTCCGTCCATTTTAATTCTGCGGGTTGACTTTTTCTCAGTAGATCAGTCAGTGGTACAGTTATGTCCGCATAATTTCCTATATACTGGCGATAGTATCCGGTTAGCCCCAAGAATGATCTTAATTCTTTCTTTGTCAAGGGAAGCGGAAAATCCTCCATGGCCTTCAATTTTCGAGGGTCTGGTCGAATTGATCCCCCTCCAACTATATGTCCCAAACAGATGATTTCTGTTGCTCCCAACTTACATTTTGATGGTCTGATGGTAAGATTGGCCTCATGAATACGCTGAAGCAGCTCTGTTACATGTTTGATATGGTCTTCCTACGTCTGACTGTAAACAATTATGTCATCAAAGTACGCAACAGTATTTTGAGTTCCATCTAAAATACGATCCATAAGTCTTATGAATGATGCTGGAGACGTCTTCATACCAAACGGCATCACTGTAAACTCGAAAAAGCCAAATGGGGTGATGAAGGCAGATTTCTCACGTGTTTCCTTTGCCAGAGGAACTTGCCAGTAGCCTTTTGTAAGATCAAATCTACCCAAATATTTTGCACTTCCAATTTTCTCAAATATTTCACTCATGTGTGGAATGGGATAAGGATCCGTGAGAGTTATTTCATTCAATTTTCTGTAATCAACACATATTCTAATTGTCCCATCAGGCTTGTTGACAAGGACAATTGGTGAGGCCCACGGACTTTTGGATGGTGTAATAAGTCCTTGTTCTAACATTTCATTCAAAGACTCCTTCACTTCCTGTTTCTTAGCTTCCGGTATCCTGTAAGGTCTCTGAGTAATTGGATTCTCAGACGTTGTTCTGATTGTATGTGAGATAACATCACACTTTCCCGGCTTTGATGTGAAAATTCTTGAAAATTTCTGACAAACATCGCTTAAACTCTGTCTCTGCACTTGTGTCAGCCCATGTCCAAAGACAAGATCTGAAATGGTTTCTGTGGTGTCGTTAGGAAATTGCTGTTCAATTCCAATTTCATTTTCTGTTGCTGCCAGTAATGAAGCCCGGTTGTAGGGACGAAGTAAATTGATATGGCAAATCACAAGTCCACGTCGTCCTCCAACATTGATTTTATAGTTAACATCATTTACCTTGTTATCCACACGAAACGGTCCTTTCCACTGAGCGGACATCTTGCCAGGTTCGGTCGGGAGTAAAACGAGTACTTCATCACCAGGGCGCAAAGTCCTTTTGGATGCTGAGCGATCATACCAATCTTTGATTTTCGACTGCCTCATTTCTAAGTTGTTTTGCACGAGTTGTGTCACATCAGCCAGTTTGTTTCGGATGTTTACAACATGATCTATCTCTGAAGTTTTTATTTCATCCTCACCAGTCATGAAGCTCTTTAAAACACTAAGAGGACCACGTACTGGCCATCCGTACAACAGGTCAAACGGTGAAAAGCCAGTCTCCTCATGTGGGACTTCTCTGTATGCGAAAAGTACATAGGGAAGTAGTACATCCCAATCTTCACCATTCTTCATACACAACTTTTTCAACATTGATTTTAATGTTCCATTAAATCTTTCAACTTTGCCATTTGCCTGCGGGTGATATGGCGTTGTAGTTATTCCCTTGATTTTGATTTTCTCATATAAATCTTTCAGGAGCGCACTCGTGAAATTTGATCCTTGGTCAGTGAGAATGGTTTTAGGAATTTCAACTCGATTAAATAATGTAATGAGTGTGTCGGCTATTCGTTCAGCTTCACAACTTGGTAAAGCAAAAGCTTCTGGGTATCTCGTAGCTTCAGCATTGACAGTCAGAATGTATTTGTTACCTTGAGTTGTCCTATTGAGTGGGCCAACGATGTCTATTGCGATCTTTGAAAACGGATCAGTTATGATGGGTGTGTTGACCATAGGAGCTCTTTCCGCACTTCTTTTTGCCACTTTTTGACAGGTGTCACATTCTGCGCAGTAGTTCGACACATCTTTGAACAATCCAGGCCAATAAAATGACGCAAGAGTACGTTGTTTGGTCTTCTCAGTTCCTAAATGTCCAGCTATTGGCTGATCATGTGCCAGCTTCATCACTGCTTTTCTTAGTGATGCTGGAAGTACCACGTGTGTTCCCGACAGATTCTTTTTCTTGGAAGTCCATTTTCGTTTCAATATGTCATTCTCCCAGTAAAACGCTTTATGTTCTGTCCCAGTTTGTGATACATTTTTGAATGCTTTATCCCTACAATTTTTGAGTGTTGGGTCTTGTTTCTGAAGATTCGATAGTTTATTTCCATTCACCACGCTCAACTTTTCCAATGAAATTTCTGGTAGATCAAGGTTCACTTCACCAGCATCATCGTTAGTTACCACGACGTTTAAGTCCCTTGGTACGACATCACATTTATTCATGCGATTTTATTTTTTTATTTTGCGAATAAGTTTTTCCAATAAGGGAATTGACGCGGTTAATATAAGCAATATTCTTAATCACAATGGGTTCAGTCTTGCATTCAACCATATTTCAAGTTAAAGACTACTCCTTGTATTTCCTACAAATATACATCGACTATTGCTTCCAAACTTTGTAATTGCAAAGAAACTAACATGACTTGGATATCTTGTATCTAAACATAATCCTCCACTGTCTTCATGTTCTTCTTCACCTTGTAACTTAAGTTGGACACGTTATTATAGGTGACGTAAATATAGCTAATAGTGAGGACCTTAGATCACTTATTTTAAAAGGTCCTATATATAGGGAACCCCGATCCTTCAACTGGAATCGGAATTTCATAAATCTTATTGATCTGTTGAAGATTACGCCAGGCGATGTGCCAGATATAAAAAAGAAAACGTTGACACTTGTGAGAATGGTTTAGATGTATCAGATCCATGTTAATATGAAAATCATCTATCTTTCTGTATTCAATAATTCAGAAGTGAAAAAAGAATTAGATTACATTATCAATACGTACTGGTCCCTGCTGACAAATCAGGTAACAACACTGTCTTTGTTTATGAGGCTCATTATATAATTTGTATTTTAGGAGAACTTGGCTTCATTCTATAAGTGGTAATTCAACTTATACTCATAGTTCCCTTTCTAAAGAAGAAATTCTTTGAAACCACATGTCAGTTTTTAAATATTTTTAAGATTCCTAAGAACCAAAATGAATTTGAACGTCCATATCTATACTGAATTCCGAAACCTCATAATAATCCTTACAAACAAAGATACACTGTAGTGTGTTCGAGTGAGTGCTCAACCAAGGATCTCTCTTTACTTCTCACTAAGATATTAACAGTAGTGAATGAGAAACTTCAAGAGTACTGTGCAACTATATATTCAGGAAGTGGTTTAAACCTTGTCAGCAAATACAATATATCATTGAGTCAAATGCTGACTGACGTTTTTCATGTTAATTGTTAGTAAATTATTTATACACTGAATTGACGACGGATTTTTTCGGTAATTCCCGATCATAACAAGGAGCATACGGCGGGTGTGACCGGTTTCCATGACAGGGGATGTTCACTTCTCCATAGCACCTGATCCCACCTCTGATGTTTTGGAGGTCCGTGTTTGCTCTGCTCCTATTTCGTATTGTATTGGACTTTTAATCTTGAATACTATTCGTTATCTTCATATATTTCATTCTAATTAAGTTTTAAATAAAGTAAAAAAAATAATATATTGCAACACTAATTATTTTTTTAACAAAATCATCCGGGGGATCCATTTTGTACGAAAATCAAAGTGCGTATATAGCATCGGGGGCGGGGGGATAACATGCTTCATTTGTAATTAGACAGTTTTCCTTATGGCAAGCAGAAACATATCAATTTATGCTTTAGGTTTCTATAATTTACAAAGATTAGTTATTTTATGCAA